TTTTTTTTTGAAGGTTAAAGAAAAGTTCTATACTCCGAGAGAATTATTCTTCCGGGATATGAGCGGCAGTGGTAACAGTGGTGGCACTGGAGCAAATCGCAGAAGTTTTGGAGAGGACCAGTATGCGACACCTTCAGCTGCATCGCCGGATGCTTGGGATATCAGAAAGGTTCTGACTTGCTCTAAACATGCTTTTCAATTCTCTTGTTGTTGAGAAAGGAAATATTTGTAGAAAAAGGCAGCAGATCTAGAACGGCTGCGACTGGAGTCTAGGTTGAAGGCGAGGTTGAAAACTGACGAGGAGTTGGGGCTAGGTTCGTTACCTTCTGCATTTCCTCGGCAAAATCAGCGTCACATGTGCTTTGGCATTAACTGCATTTTTGGGACATTATCCATCAGAAATGGTTTACATTCCGAAAAAGAACGGTTATTTTGTCAGTAAATCCCTCTTAATAAAATGCTCATTCCTTTTATGATTCTTTCTTGAACGTGATTTCGAATTGAACCTTCAGAAAATTCCACAGGAGCAAGAATACACAACACGCCTATGATTGGGTTATCGAAACCAGTTTCTCCACCAGCGCGAGTCAGTTCAACATTTTGAAATTTTGTTTTTGCAAATTATATTCCACATGCTTATTCCCCTTTTTCAGAGTCGTGGATTATCGCTGACAAGTGAACCAACAAAATCACCAAGAGTGCATCGATCACTAACAGTTGGCGCTTACGATAATGATATTCGAGTTATTGAAGTTGTACGTTATCCCTGTTTCTGAAGCATTCGAAACATATTTTGTTTGTCATGATCTAGGAATTGTAAGAAAATTTTCCAAATCACAATGACAAACGTCTAACTCAATTTGAAGTAGAAATAAGGAAGATCCTCTAGGTTGAGCGTGGTCGAGAATCGGAATCGAGAGTTCAGGAGCAGCGAGGACGTCCAGCTCTAGCAAAACCTCGTGCTCCTGGCTTATTGTCACGCCTGTTCAGCCCCGATTCCAGAAGACCGGAACCACGGGTATGTGGAATTCTGAGTCCTTATGAGCCTGCGACTGATTGTTCTTCACTTACAACATGATTTAGCCCCGACAATCGAAAAGCCCATCGTCTAACGGTGAACGAATTCATTCTGAAAGTCGGAAAGAAACAAATATGCTTGGCAGCACATTCAGACGCTTTAAGCTAAAGCGAGAAGAGCATAGAGGTAA